CCCCAAACATGTACAACAGGTTGCCTTCAGGCCCAGGCCTCCCTTGAAAAAGAGATCTGAGATCTCAATGGGACTTGCCTGGTAAAATAATGGTAAATAAAAATAAATAAACTCCTCCGTTTGTTGTCAGGCTGCGGCTCCACGAGGCGAAGGTGATCAAGGATCGGAGGCACCACCTTCGAACGTACCCCAACTGCTTCGTGGCCAAGGAGCTCATCGATTGGTTGATGGAACATAAAGAAGCTGCAGATCGGGACACAGCCATCAAGATCATGCAGAAGCTTTTAGACCAGTGCATCATTCACCACGGTAAGGCTGAGCTGTGTGTGTATGTGTGTGTGTTACCTTTTTTCTTTCCTTTTGAGGACCATTCCAGTTATAAACACCTGCCTTGTCAGGACCAGTAGCCATTTCGGGAGGCCAAAAACCAATCCTGATATGATTGAACTCCATTTTGGGTTAGGTTTAGGGTTAGGCTACAGAAATGCCTGAAAATGAATGGAAGTCAACACTAAACCTAACCACCACTAGTACATAACTAACTAACCTTAACCTACACACCACTTCAATCTGCACCCTAATCCTGCACTGGATGCATTTTTTTTTTTTACCACAACACAGTTACAGAGAAACAACACAGTTTTCTTTTCTTTAAAGTTTAACACAATAATAAGGATTAAAACATAACATTTCCATAACAGTGTGAGTTTGAGGTGTTTTATTATTTTTTTACTTTTTGCAACAACAATGGCTCGAGTTGACATTTTCTGGGAACAACCTATGGTTCTCCACGGCCAGTTTGCCTCCAACTCTGTGGGTTTTGTATTCTGCTCTCGGTTTGATTGAAGGCCAACGCGGGAGAGGATGTCCTATTTTTTTTTGTTAGCTGGAACTGAAAATGAGCTTTATAATTACTTAACTTTTCAGATTAATGGTTTAAATGATGTTTAAATATTAGTGATCAATTTATACAAACTCAGAAGTCCCATCAGCCCACGTTGGTACATTGGGACAAGGAATAAACAGGCTTTTCTCAGCTTCTTTTTTTTTTTTTTTACAAATCTATTATAAAAAATACCACAAACTCTTACACATAAAATAGTGTTTTAGCTCCAACAAGATGAGTACTGCAGTCAGGTACAAGGACTGGACAGATACTGTATTAGAAAGAGCTTCAGAAATCCTGACAAACTGTTGATTAGGATCCTTTTAGAAAAATAAATGCCTATTTCACCTCTTGAAAGGCAAAACACACAGAAAATAGGGTTGTTTGAAAACTTTTGCAAAGCACTCTATATTGTATAACACAAAAACAACCCATCTGAACATTAACTGGACTGAACAGGCTTTAATGCACTCTGTGTTCGGTGAATCACGCTTCATCAATAACAGATCAACATCAATCCAGCTGCGTCACCAGGAAACGCAGCTGATTTCACTGCATCTGTGTTTTTCTGCACTGGCTACATGTGTTTTTTATTTTTCGTGCGTAATTGTTGCAGGTGAAGAAGGCCTTGTAACTCAGCTTGTGTCTGTTTGCAGTTTGCGAYGAGCACCGGGAATTCAAAGACATGAAGCTGTTTTACCGCTTCCGTAAAGATGACGGCACCTTCCCGCTGGATAATGAAGCCAAGGTCTTCATGAGGGGCCAGAGGATCTATGAGAAGTATGAACACACATGTTAAAGCAGACTCGTGTGGAGAAATCATTAAGATTTCATCCTTTCAGACTGTTTGAGAAATTGCACCTCGTTTGAAAAAAAAATATTTTGTTGTTTATGGTTTAGAGAAGTCTATGTCTGTGTGAGAAATATATCTCCATGAGGCATGACTCTTTGCTTAGATTAGTCTAATGACAGGAAAAAGGAGAAACGATAAGTTGTCTCCCAATTCTCAGACTAAAAATTGCACTTAATGATGTAAACCAGAAATCTAAAATCACAAGCTGCTTAAAAACTCTGGGGGAAAAAAAGGAAATCCAAACAACTCCGGCATTTTGTTTGGGGCTGCCTTAGTCTAAAAATATCTCCTGAGTGGTTTGATTTTGCATGGCTCGCCTCCACATCGTCGTCTCCACCCAGCTTCAATTTCAAACCGTGCTCCCGTTATAAAGGTTACTACACTTCAGAGAGAAACGAGCTAATAATCCTCTAACCGTACTGTAATGGTTTACTTCTGGGTTGTTTTGAGTTCTGTTCCTCAGTCAGGTTTTTACAAATGTCTATTTGTTATTAATGCAGYGTCATCATGAAAGCAAACAGTTCGAAAACTTTGGGCAAAAACAGAAAAAGAGACTGACTGAGGGTCAACAGAGCCTCAGAAAACCTGAGGAAGTTTGATATTATTGACACTTTGAAGTTATTTTACTGCAACACTTTATTTTTTATAATTTGTAAAAAAAAAAAAAAAAAAAAACAGAGCCAGTTTGATAGAATATCTAAAATTCTGAATCAGGGTTCTTTAGCTGGACGTTCTGGAAAAGGGGAGCATCTTTATGTGTTGTCATATAAATGAGTTCAGATCTTTCTAGAGGGTTTCTGTGACAAGATTATAAGCAAATAGTATCTTACCTGTTGGAGATAGCTCTTGAAAGGGCCTCAGTTCTGAGAAAATTGTTTAATTCTCAGTGTTGTATAAAGTACCTCAAAGTGATACTTGAGTAAAAGTACAAGTATCTTATCATAAAAATACTTTGGTAAAAGTTAAAGTCTTCTCTAAAAAATATTACTTGAGTAAAAGTCTTAAAGTATCTGATATTTTTTGTACTTAAGTATCAAAAGTAAATTTCTGACACAAAATTTACTTGAGTATTAAAAGTAAAAGTACTGAGTAAAAGTGAGCASTTAGATTTTCCAAAATGACATTTATTGGGAGGTGACTTCTCCAAAACGGCGTGCAGCTGTCATAATCTGTGTTTATTTTCCTTAGTTTTCTGGTGTTTTCAGTGTTCCCCTGTGTTTCTCTGCCCTGCAGCCCCACCCTCTCTCACCTGTGTCCTCTTGTGTCTGCCCCAGGTGTGTCTTGTTGCCCTAATTAGTTTGCCTTTATATTCTGTGTCCTGTCTTCAGTGTTTGTCTGATCATTGTGCTGCTTCCCTCAGCCAGTGAGGTGTCTGCTCGTGTTCATGTTCCTTGTGCCTTTCTCTAGAGTGTAAGTTTTTGCTGACATGTCAGCCCWCCTTTTKTTTCATTAAAATACTTGTTYTGAACTTTGGATCCTGCCTGCGCCCTGGGTCATTCTACACTAAACCTCACAGCAGCTGTGATGGGTTGTGTACAAGCTAACAGGGTGTCAGAATGGTATATATTTATACTTCTCATCCAACCACAATTAAATTCACTCTATCCAGGAGACACACTTTATCAGGATAGTATTTTTTAAGTAATAATAACTCGGAATAAAATAGGAGTAACGACTTTATACTTCTTACCTTTTTAAAAAATGTAGTGAGTAGAAAGTACAGATAATTGTGTAAAAATGTAATAAGTAAAAGTAAAAATTATGCCGAAAAATAATTACTTAAGTATAGTACAGTTAACCAAAATTTCTACTTAAGTACAATAACAAAGTATTTGTACTTAGTTACTTTACAACTCTGTTAATTCTGATCAGATTGATGAGCTGCTGGCTAGTCTGAGTGGAGCCACGAACAAAAAAAAAAACTTCTAAGTTCCCCTTTCTGTTACAAGTACTGTAGCTCTACAAAACCTCACTTTAAAAGTTACAAAGTATTGACTGAATGTAACTGGTTAGCTACATGTTTGTAATATTAATTTTATGATGATAGTTTGCAGTTTGAAATGTGACTAACACTCAAAAAACAGATTGTTGGATTTACTTAACTAATTTATGTCAACAATTTCCACTTGAGTTGAGTGTAACGTAACTTTCACAATGTATTTCAATGTAAATGTTCAAGTTGCTTTACATTTGCTCAACCCAGTTAGTTTAGGGGAAATTAAGTAAATCCAACAATCTGTTTTTTTTGAGTGAAGGGCAATGCTATCTCCTTATAAAGCAGTTAATAATGTGCACCATTTTGGTCAATACAGGCATCAATCTTGTTAGCAAGTTATAAAAAAATTAACCATTCCTTTTTAAAGAAGTGAATACACAGAATCTAGTTTGGTAAAAAAAAAAAATCATTTGATGATTCAGTTAGGTTAAGGTTAGGCTTGTTGTGTAAATTATTAAAACAAACACATCAAATCATGAAGATGCAGGATGCAAGATTCTTCTTTGATTTACTTTCTGACCCATCCTGTATTATTATTTATTATTATTTTGTATCTGATTATTGTTGTTGTTTTGCTGACAGTCACCASCAGTACCTCAAATGATAAATGCATCAGTTTGAGTACTTGGCGTTGTCTGCATTTTTTCTGACTGTGATAAAAGCCTGCAGAACAGGCAATGTCAGAAACTGCCGGYGAGATCCTTAACAAGCAATGATTTATAGCTTTTTGTCCTGACATGAAGCTCTGTTTTGAGGAAACAGGACCGTTCGTCATCAGCTTTAACATCTATTGTGCAGGTTTTTTTCCAGTGATGGCAGCACAAATAGCCTGTGTTAAAAACACTCGTGGTTTTCTTATCGTGTCTAAAAACTGAAACACACACACACACACACACACACACACACACACACACACACACACAC